CAAATCCAGCTTTAAAACATTTGTCTTAAAGAGTTTTAAAAGTCTCTAGAAGATGACTTTCATGATAAATTTCAAATAAAAAAGTTATTGGCAAAAGATGGATTTCATAGGACCACTCTAATGACAAATTTATATAAAATGTGCTAGTACATTTGTTTCAATATTTGGACATTTAGTGTCTTCGAAGAAGTTTTTGTTCTTAAAAATTCCCTTCTTTTGGTGTTTGCAAACGTCAGGGTGGTCCTCAAATTAGGGAATTTTTTAAACTAACTTTTTTGTTTTACAAAATATAAACATGTGTTGTTCAAAAAAGTTGTAGTTAAGTTACTTGCAAGCAACTTTGTCGAAATTTTTTTTTTCTATCTCTTAACGTTCTCATTTTAGAGTAATTTTTCGGAGTTGACTTAGGGTGTTCCTGGAAAAAACAGTTTTTTAGCAATAACTTTTTTATTTGAAAATTCTCATGAAAGTTATCTTTTAGAGACTTTTAAAACTCTTTAAGACGAATGTTTTATAGTTGGATTTGTTGCCTGTATATCTTCTAATAAAAAAGATATACTCAAATATAGTAAAAAATATGAATAAATTCAAATTTATTTTATACGAGTTTAAAAAATAACATACCTCCAATTTTTTCATATTATTGAGAATAACAAACACCCTTTCATATGCTGCAAAAAAACTTTTTTTTGTTTGCCCCAACCAGAGATATTAACATTTGAAAAGTGCATATTTTTAGTATACAAACGTCAATAACTCTTGATCGGCGAAAGATATTGACAAGCTTTGTGCAGAAAAAATTTGCGCCTTCTTAAGATCTAAAAGTTATCTGAAGACACATTTGCTGAGAAATTCGAAATAAGAAAAATAGAGCAAAAAAACTGTTTTTTTAAGAGCCACTCTAACTCAATTCAAGAAAATAGCTCTAAATCGGCCAATTTAAGAGATACAAAAAAGTTATTTTCAACAAAGTTGCTTGAACTTAGCTCAGCTATAACTTTGCCCAAGAATGTATACCTTAATTTATTCAAACAAAAAAGTTAGATTTTTGATTTTAATGATAATAGGAACCACCCTAGAATTCATTGTCATAAAAATGAGGCCCTAACTATAAGCAACAACTTTGTAGAAAAGACTTTTAGTCTAAAGTTTCAATTTCAGGCTCAAAACATATCATTCCACCTAAATCTGCATTCTGTACCACTGTGCATTGCCCCACCAAACGCTGCAAAAAGAAAATGAAAATGAAATACTCCAATTGATAGGAAATAACCAAATGGAGTTCGGTAAAGAGAGATGAGATCAACGGGGAAGTTTGGTAAAGAGAGATGATTAAACCGATTTGTACCTTCCTAAATTTGTCCTTGCTCGCTTTCTACTCTCTATAATTTCATCTCCTCATCTATCGTATAAAAATTACCACTTTAGTCTGTTATTTGAAATTAGCATTTTCAACTATGTAAATCGTTGACTTCACGCAGAAGTAATGCTAAACACATAGTCAAAGTAATAGTTTGTTGATACCAGAACAATCGGGATATCGGGAAGGTCATTTTTGTGAAACCGCGTTGAATTTGGCATTATCGAAGTGGAAAAATAACTTGTAGTGTAAAAATACGATTGTTGCTGTTTTTTGGATCTAAAACGCACTTTAGAAACAATTTCTAGGCCTTTATTATTACGATCAATCAAGCGCTTTGGAGTTACAAGTACTGCATATGAATGGTTTGAAAGCTATTTGTCTGATAGAACTCAAAGGACTGTTTTTAATGATTCTATTTCCAGTCCCGTGGGGGAATAACCTTGGAGTGCCCCAGGGAAGTGTATTAGGGCCCCTTTTATTTATTATGTATATTAATGATTTGCTACGTGTTTTACGATATTGCTACATTAATCTTTTTGCAGATGATCCTGTGTTATTCATTGCAGCTAAGGATTTAGATGATGCCGTTTCACACTTGAATGAAGATTTGCATTCTCTAAGTAGATGGTTGAAGTATAAGCAATTGAGATTGATTATAATTAAAACTAAATTCATGATAATTTCACGAGAACGTATCCGTTGTAATTGATGACGAGGCTATTGATCGCGTTCGGGAGATTAAATATCTTGGCGTGATTATTGATGACAACTTTAAGTTCAACTTTCACATTGATAATGTCATCTAGAAAATTTCCAAGAAGTATGGAATTCTATGTCGATTGAAAAACGATTTAACTATTGCCAGTAAAATACAGCTCTACAAATCAATAATTTCTCCTCATCTAGGGTTTTGCCCTTCCATTTTATTTAATGTAGCACAAATATCGAATGCGCTTGATTTTGAGATGCAATAGATTCACTTCCTCAACTTTGATGCTAGACGTTTTAAAATGGTCTTGAAAGACCAAAGAATTGTATATTTGACATGGTGTTCATTTTTAAAGTAGTTAACCGTTTGCTGCCTCGATATGTGTTGGATCGAATTGAAGGAGGAAGTGACTTTCAGAGATATAATACTATATCTATATAATACTATATCTATAATATATCTTGACTTGTGCTTCATGAAATTCATTATATTTTTAAGGAATAAATGTTTTCAATTCGATGCCTAGACAAATCAAACGTTCAGCAACACTTACAGAATTTAAAAAAAAAAACTCAATTTCACACGTTAAATCTGTCGTTTATGAATTGGAAAATTATGTATCTTGACGAAGTTATCTCTAACGCATTATTTTATATGAATAGCTGTCAAATGACTTTTTAATAATTATTGTAGCACGGAAAAAATATTGTGTTCGCCACGATGGTCATGATGAATTTTTAATATTTGATTTAATAGTATTTGATTTAAAAAAAAAGTAGTCTACAAAAGTTTGAGCCTCGCGCGCGTATTACGGATATAGAGGACCGAATTTAAAATTTGATAAAAAAAATGCAATTTTGAAGCTTATTTGGAAGATAAATACCTTGAGTTAGTAGTAAGTTTTCTGGTAAATGTTGGGGGTTCGTGAGCATTCCTGACATTGCTGAAAATTATGTTTAGCATCAGATTGCGGGGTTGCTAGTGTAATATGATGCTTTGATGATTGGTCATTAGACTGCCAATGAATGTATGGGAAAAATTTGACCATCAAATTTCGCTAACAAACCATATACAAAATGTTTATTGCCTCGAAAAATGACCCTATGCAAAATTTTAGCTCAATTGGACATGACTTAGGGGTGCCGCAAACGCGTCAAAGTTTGACTTTTTTCACTCTCGAAAATCGAAAAATTTTCGGAATTATTCTACGATTTATGTCTGTCTATGCTTCTATTTTACGTGGTCTCAGATACTAAAAAGTAATATCATCAAATGTTTTGAAGTTTGGATTCTTAAAAATTCCAAAACACAACATGATGATATTTTCAGATACATGCGTTTGGTAAAAAGTAATGGTTTTTACATACCTATTTTGATTTTTGGACCACCCTAATGAAGAATAATTGGACCACCCTAGTGAATTATTTCGTATTAGGTCCTAAATGGTGGTTTAATTCGATATATAAGCAGGTTGGAGACAATTGTGAACAGTTTTAGAAGCCGACTCATCAATCTTCTATATTCCATATAGAACTCATGAAAAAAATTCTAAGTCCCAGAAAGTTGATTTTTGAAAAAAAAATTTTTTCGAGATAACACCAAATCTCGACGTTTCATGCATTTTTAAGACATTTGGCATCAAAAAAAAAAAAATTGATTTCCGAAATTTCATGAGAGTGAAAAAAGTCAAACTTTGACGCGTTTGCGCCACCCCTAAATCATGTCCGATTGAGCTCAAATTTTGCATAGGGTCATTTTTCGAGGCAATAAACATTTTGTATATGGTTTGTTAGCGAAATTAAAAATTACCATTTTCGCTGGCAGTCTATTGGTCATTAACTCTTGATTACTTGTAATAATTATGAATATTTTAAGTGGACGAAAAGGCGAACTAAGAGATGGACGCCTGAGCTTTTCCACATTTATATCGTCGTTAAACAACTGTAAACTCTAGAGAGAATTTATATCTGTATAATAATTTAATTAAAAAGTCTTTATTTTCCTCTACAGCTGAAAATTAAACGTCATTTCGATTAATTGCAAAATTCGAAAAGGCTGAAAAAAAAATTATACAAACATTGAATGTGTTTTTTGCAACTTCAGTTTACGATTTTCAAAGTTGGTTGGAAATGCTATCTAATATCAAGCTTGAAGCTATTATGCAAAGTTTCGTACAAATCAGAGAAGATCGAGTCAAAAATTCATCTAGCATTTTCGTGACTGTCAACCTAGTGTTCTTTGAAGAGTTCCACAGTTAATGATTGAGAGCTTTCTATGCCAACTAATGCATGAATTTGAATACTAAATGGCAAATACAATGATACTCTTGCCAACAAAAGTCGAGTAAATTTCGAAAAATAATCCGAAAGATTTTCTACACCGGACCCGGACCGTCTCCATGCCTTAACTTTATAGGTTATCTGAAACGTCACACACGTTGGCTTATGGTTAAGCCAGCGAATGCCCATGGCAAATGGAAGCGAGCCTATTGGAAAATAATTCTCCATTCCGGGATCATAACCCATAAAGTAGGTAACTCATTGCAGCGTCCGGAATGATAAATGGAAAAGAACTTCTGCTCAGACACGATGAACTCCGTTCAAATTAAGCGTCAATGTAAAGCGACAGCGACGCGCACCGATAAGATAATCTTCATTGGATTTCGAAACCATCGATTCAACCAAACACCTGCCAGTTCGTTTCCACCACTCCATAATCCATTTACGTTGTTTGATTGATGGAATCAAAATTGACATATATCCACTAGAATCACTTCTGGTAACTTCCACTTTCAAATGTTGAACAACGAGGTTTGCCGTAAAATTTTAGAACTAACAGGAAATCACAACATCCAATAAATTTGCCTACAAACCGATTAGAAAAAGCCTAGCCATATTTCTGAACGAAATCTGTCGGCAGTAGTAGTACCTCGTACGATCAGTATCACTAGGAACCACTTCAAAAGCCACTGCATGTTTTCCCGGTCCGTAGTCCTCGACAAGCAACCGATTCCACAAAACACCTGTTCGGCACTGACTGAATCAGTGTGTAGCTTGGTTGTAAATGGAATTTTGATATGCGAACCGATTGACCACTGGTTGGTAATCTTATCACTTTGACCGGCTGTGCTATCTCATCAATAGGAATATGATTCAGCGTTTGGCTGTATAACTGAAGTTGCCTTTGTAGTGGGTAATTGTTTAAAGCCGACCGGATTTTCTGATATGCTCAATTGCGCTAATCGCGTTTTTGCAGCAACGAGTTTAAGGAGATACGAAATCTGATTGAGTGATTGGCTTATCTCGGTGGGGAAGGAAATTTGCAACTGTGGGTTTTAGTTGGAAGATAGGTATACATTATTTTTATATTACATTACAATTGTAACGTTATTTCGATTACAAAAGAATTAATAATTAATAAAATATAAAATTTTAGGTTATGTCACAAGAATTGATTAATAAAGAGAGAGATAACGATGAGTAATTTCCATTTAATTCCACTGCATTATTTGCTTATCCTTGACAGATACGCGTATTTCGTCTACAATGTGCAGACTTCTTCAGTGTCTTGTACTAATACTAAAATCGAGTATTAGTACAAGACACAGAAGATATGCAAATAAGGTAGTGGAATTCCATGGGAATTACTAATTCTTATCTATTTATTTATACAGGTATTCCACTAAGACGCCCATATTCATCAAGATTTAAATTGATTTACTTAGAAACGGTTAACCGGTTGGATCCAATAGATGATTTGCTCAACTGACTGATCAAATGGTCAATTTATTTTACGATCAGTTGACCGTATAGTCAGTAAATTGATTAAATGGCCATTTGATCAAATAGCTGGTCGATCAATAGTAGCAAATACTTATGCAGGCTCGAGACTATTTTTTTGATTGACCAAGCTACAAATGCACAACACGTTCCATTTCTCTTTGATGAATTTAGAAGTGATAAGTTAAACATTCTTAACTCATCAAATAAGGCACACAGTGGCCAATTACGGATATTGTTGAACATCTTTATGCAAAATACAATGCAGATAAATCTGCAAGTTAGCCAACTGTAATTGGCATCACAATTTATTTCCAATATAGATATTCAACTATATGAACTATACATATCTCCACCGCACTGCAAATCAAACATGCACCATCAATTTACGTTGACGACTCCATCCGTTTCACCCGAACTCGATCCCGACATGATTGGCAACCTACTACTAATCGCACTTTAAACGCACGGCACGTCAACAGCAAATTAAAGGATAAGCTTCCCTACTTGTTGTCAATTCCGTTTCGACCTGAATTCGTGCCCCCGGCGCTCGTAAGCCGTCTAAGCCAAATAAAAAAAATAACACCAATTAGACTTACTGACACTAACATCGCCGTAGCTCCTGTTCTGAAAGCATATGACAACGGCATCGATGAATGGCGATTCGCGAGTTATCAAATATACATACACTGCAACGACTAAACCAGACCAATTCATGATTTGTCAAACTTGAACTAAACAAAAATGCTTGAAATCTTCGAACCGACCGAATCCTCTTCACTGTCAAAACATCACTAAATCGAACCGTTCATTTGGTCGAACAGAGCACCACCACCACCGGATTGCAAATCCAATGGCTCCGGCAATCCATGCATGCAAATCCTTCAGCGAAAACAATCAGGTGTAGGACAACTACGGCATGTCATCCGTGTCCTGCACGTAGCAGAGTGGAGGCAAGCTTGGATGGTCAATACATAATTTCCCAGGTCCTATACATATGTCTATGCTGCAATGTACGCCCGACGAACACGTGTTCGTCGGGGTGGACGCTTAGTCTATGTAATTATATTATACAATGTTTACCACCCTTCAACCTCCCGTTCCTCTTCGTGGATGTTTGGAAATGTGTCTCTCTCCCGGTGGAACGTGTGCTGCATTTTGGAGGCCACGCGCTGCTGGACAGCAGGCAATAAAATTCGAATCATACATACACACATGGACACGGTAGGTACTTACCACGTATCGTAGGAGAGCCACAGCCTTACAAGTGTACTTGATAGGGGAAAGGATTTCACATATGGAGGAAAAGCGATTGCTTTCCATTTCTGCTGCAGGCAGTGATGGTCAGCCAATGGCACACTTATGGAGAGCAAATGGTGTGTTCTACTTCCGGAACAGGGGTGCATTTGGGTTCCACTGTTTCTGTGATATACGAACAACTATACCGACGAACAAATCGTAACCAAACTTATATCATATTGTATGATTTACTACCGAATGTTAACTGTAGCTTTATTTGTTCTGGAGATATTAACCAAAGAAAGTAATGCTTCTTGAAAATCACGAAAAATAGAAAATGCTCCCTTGAATCAAAAGATGTTTTGGTCGGTACAAACATTGGATTTTTAAAATTTGAGTTAAAATAAGTACCTCCTTCAAATTTGGGCCAAATCGGAAAATTACCAGCATTCAACCTGGTGACCACAGTGAGTTCCAGCAGCAGCAGTAAGCCCCAAGGTGAGCAGCAAGGACCCCAAGGAGAGCTAGGTCTTGTGCTAAGCCAGATGTTCACACTAGAGATGGGCGATCCGCTCCCGAGCTGTTCTAAAGAGCCGATTCACTAAAGTGAGCTGATGATCCGCGGTTCATTTTTTTAGGAACCGCAGCTCATCAGCACATTGTTATCACAAATCTAAACCATTCAATCCGTGACTTATAGCAACAATCAATACGAAACTATCGATTTGAAATTGGCTCACTACTTGACTAGCCTATTGGTCCCAAGCAAATTGATTAACGTACCCCATTCTAGTCAAAATTCTAGTACTACACAATGTTTGTTTTGATTCGCTATGAAAGTTTGACAGATAAATTGAGGGGTTAGTGGATTTTCCTATGTTTCGAGGGGTGAATCGATTAGCTTGGGACCGAAGATAGTACCAGAGCTGAGCCAAAAAGTAGAGCTCGTTTCTTCGGGACCTACTAGTCTTAGAGTTACCTCTATGCTTATAGCGCGCATTGCTCCTTTACGCATTGAACAGTCACCGCGTAAACCAAGATGCGCGCGTAATTCAACATGTGCATGCTGATCGATATCATCAACCGTAAAAGCAAACTTCCAAGCGGCTGTATGGGAGAGAGAGACATATGTACATGTGTTACACGATGTTAAATTTCTACTGGTATTATCCAATGTATTTACGTTCCTAGCTCTTATTGCTGATGTTATTCCTCCAGCATATGTGGGGGGGCGGAGGACCGCACAAAAACAAATAACCGAAAAGCTAAGTGCAGCTCTCCAGCTTAGCAGCTCATCTCCGGATCCGAATCATCGGCTCGAATGATTCAGTGAGATGACAGCTGTCGGACCCGTCCAGCTCTTCGGATCTTTTTCTCTCTCGATTCTTCACGATTCAGCTCCGGATCCGGATCTGAGCTGATGATCTAGAGCTGAAACCAAGAATAGAGAGAGCTCCGCTCCGCTAATGCACGCTCTGATCTGAATACACCATTAAACTTATGATATCAGTGAGCTGATGAGCTGCGGTTCCTAAAAATGAACCGCGGATCATCAGCTGACTTTAGTGAGTTGGGTCTATAGAACACCTCGGAAGTCCATCTCTAGATCTGAGCTGAAGTCGAGAATAGTGGGAGCAATTGTGCTGGAGCGATATCCTGAGCGATATTTCACGCGCGTGGCGAGATTTTGCGAATGTACGAGAGGGAGAGAAGTACTAGTTGTCTATCTCATTCCAATACAAATTCTGCTCCGCTCTGCTAATGCACGCTCAGATCTGAATACACTATTAGACTTATGATATCAGTGAGCTGATGAGCTGCGGTTCCAAAAAACGAACCACGGGTCATCAGCTGACTTGAATGAATCGGGTCTAAAGAACAGCTTGGGAGCCCATCTTCAGATCTGAGCTGATGATCTGGAGCTAAAGCCGAGAATAGTGAGAGCAAATCTGCTGAAGAATTAACATCAGAAATAAAATCTGTATGTAGACTGGATAACATAGCTAGAGAAAAGACGTAACATCGTGTAACACGATGTCGATCATATCATCGCGTTTGAAATGTGTGTAAAAAATTCTATAATTTAAAGGTGAGCTGAAGAGCTGTTCAAGAGAATCGACTCGCTTTAATCAGCTGGACGGGTCTGATCCGCTCAGCCAGATGAGCTATTTTGCCCACCTCTAGTTCACACCGAAATCCAGCAGTAGCACACTCCAAGAAGGACTGCAGCTTGGGAAGACCAAAATAATGGAGGTCAGGAGGAGAATTCTCTGATAAGAGCATGACGGGCATCAAATCCGCCTTTATTGCTTCCGAACAAGAACCGGATGCGCTGAGGGCGAAATCCGCGACTGATCGGCGCTAAGGAGAAAGCAACGACTAAAGAACAGGACACGCCGAAGGGATTCCGAAATCCACGTTCGGAGAAGAGGAAAAGGGAAACGCCAGGAGAAGAAGAGGAGCTGAAAAAGCCCACCCAAGAACGACAAGGACATCAACAAGAAAGAAGGATGGCGTACCTTTGAGAAGCCGAAGGAGAAGTGGAAAATACGGAAGGAAAAAAAGGTGAAGATGGTGTAGTAGATAGAGTTAGAGTTGAATAAATAATGAGTAGAATCGAGTGAGCGTGAAGCGTGATAGTCCGTATGTAAACGGAATCTCATTGGTTAGAGAATTTGGATAGGTTAGCAGGTATAAATATGAAGTACCTAAGCTCGTTGAAGTCATTATTGTAACGAATTTTGGAGGTGACGGACCACCACCAGCAGCAGAAACAGCAGCAAAAGAAATTTTGGAGGTGACGGACCACCACCAGCAGCAGAAACAGCAGCAACAGAAACAGCAGTAACAGAAACAGCAGCAACAGCAGCAGCAGCAAAAGAAACAGCAGCAACAGAAACAGCAGCAGCAGCATATACAAATGACCCGTGGGAGCTGCATCGCTAATTCGTGTAGCCGTGACCAAGGCTGGAAACCTCGGTCCGGTCACGACAGATGGAAGAACAGAAGAACGAGAAACCC